CCCACATGAACATGCACTACTGCCACCACCTTACAACAAATGCAAGCCAGGCTTTCTCTTCCCAACCTACCAATCCTCCTTCTCTCTCTCTGAATACACACAGAAGTCTTGGGCACAAAGACTTCAAAGTGAGATGAGCCAGACCTCGAGGGGTCCTTTCCCCTGCTTCCAAATCTCATCCTAGCCAGTCAAATGAGGCTCTTCTATGTTTAAAAATGCACCACCCTCCCCACCCACACACCCTAACCCCATCCCAAGAAAAGAACAACTTTGCAGCTTTATCCTGTTCCAGGCTCTCAGCGCAAGGAAATTCTTCCCAAGAGTTCCCCTCAGATACTCCTGTTTGCCTTTCGTTGTTCAATGGTGCAGAGAGGGAATATCCTTCTCTATAGCCCCCAGCAGCATGGAATAAAACTGCTCTGTTGTCTGGGACCATGCTGTCTGGTGGCTGGAGACCAGGTGCACACAGCCTGATGAGGTTGATCCAGGTCTCTCAAGACTCTTCTCATGACTTTCATGTCAGCCCCCCTTATAGAGACCTCTCAGGCTTGTCCTTTCCTCACTCCACTGTGGGAACTGCCTGTCCTCGTGGAGGGTGGGGTGTGACGTGAGAACCACTGGGGACAATGGAGGGTTTGGTCATTTATCGGTTTCAGCAGTGGAGGACCATATCATCTGGGGTCAACATGGAGAGTGGGGCTGCCTTTGCCTGGCTTTTGGCACACCGTTAACTATTTCTGTTTTGGGAATGATAAAGATGATGACGATAGAGCCACATTTACATAGATCACATTTACATTTTACTTGGTACTTTGCTCAAAATTAACCCTGTGAAGTCAGTGGTACCAGCTTATGTGTCTGAGGTTGTATGGCTTTAGGAAGCATCAACAGCAACTTAGGTCTTCTACTCCCACTCCCACAATTCCTCAGTTTTCAATATTGATTTTACTTTATATCTATATCCATACCTATATCTAGACTTTTGACTTTTAGTTGTGAAGGTAGGTGGACTTTTCCAATCTTACATGGTTCAGGCTGATGATAAACTGAGTTTGCCCGTGAGAATTGATGTGAGGGGTGAAGGAGATCCAGGGAATGAGGGAAAGCTAGCCTTGGTTAAAACTGTGGCTGATCAGCAAGAGTACAATAGAGGCCTCAGTGGGTAAGGGCTGGCTGGGATATTAGTTGTTCAGTTGTTTTTCCGTCATATCCGACTTTTTGTGCCTCCATTTGGGATATTCTTGGCAGAGATACTGGAATGGTTTGCCTTTTCCTTCTCCAATTCGTTTTGCAGATGAGGAAACTGAGGCAAACAGGGTGAAGTGACTTGCTCAGGGTCACACAGCTAGTAAGTGTCTGAGGCCTGATTTGAAGATGAGGCTTCCTGACTCCAGACTTGGTGTTTTATCCATTGCACCACCTAGCTGCCCTGGGATATTAACATAGGCATTATTCTTGGCTCCTCACCCTTCCCCACCCCAAATCTCTGAGTACTTGCTGAATCTCTGCCTCCATAACATCCCTTGCATCTGACCCCTTCTCACACACACAGACATACTTCTAGCCTTCATCTCTCACCTGGCCTCCTTATTGTAATGGCCTCTTAATTGGTCTCCTGACTCAAGTCTCTTCACACGTTTAATTAAAATGATTTTCCTTAAGAACAGACTTGAGTGTGTCCCCTTTTTCCCCTTCAGTAAATTCTAGTTATTGTCTCCAGGATCAAATATAAACTTCTCTGTTTGGCTTTTAAAGTCCGGTCAACCGACCAAGCCTCCCCCGTACTTTTTCAGCCCCGTTGTACATGACTCCCCATCCCAGGCTCTTTGGTCCATTGAGACTGACCTTGTTGCTCTCTGCACATATTATCTTCATTTTTCCTCTCTGTGCCTTAGCACTGGCCATCCCCCATGCCTGGAAGCAAATGAGATCAAGCTCTTTGCAAACCTTAAAGTGCTATGTAAACGCTATTTATTACTGTGTTGCTGTGTCCTCTCATCACCATCTCTGAGAATCATATTTACATACTTAACTTAAGTCGGACCTCCAGCATACCATTTCCTGCAACTTTTCCTGATTACACTTCCCTTCTCCCCTCCCAAACTACCTTGTATTTTCTAGTATTTATTCTGTGCATAGATAAGTGTGTATTAGATAGTCTCCTATTGCTGGGTTACTTAACCTGGGATCAATAAGGTCTCACGTGGGTAGATTTGGGGGCGGTGGTGAACTTAGATGGGGGAAAAAAAACTTTATTTCCTACTAATCTGCAACTGAAATTTAGCATTTCCTTCAATTATGAATTTTTTTAAAACTACATAATTTTCAGAAGAGGTCCATAAGTACCTTTACCAGACTGCTGAAGGGGTTCACAACAAAAAAAAGGTTCATAACCCCTGCTTTATAGAATGTAAGCAGGCATTGTTTCCTTTTCATCCCAATCAAGCTAGCATAGAGCCTGGCATCTAGTTAAAAAAAAAACAACAATAATAGCTAACATTCATGTATCGCCTACTCTGTGCCAAGTACTATGTGGAGAGCTTTACAATTATTATCTCGTTTGAACTTTGCAACAACCTTGCTAGGTGACTGCTATTATTATCTCTATTTTACAGATGAAGAAACTGGGGCAAACAGAGCTTAAGTGTCTGAGGCCAGATTTGAACTCAGGTCTTCCTGACTTTGGGCCCAGTGCTCTCCCCACCACGACACTCAATTGCCCCTGATTTAATAATGCTTTTTGGTTGATCTTGGGAAACAAGTCAAGTTACTCAGCATTTATTAAACACTTTCCATGTGTCAGGCACTGTGGTAAGTGCTGGAATTATATTGAACGACAAAAATTCCCTTTTCTTTCTTTTTTTTCTTTTTCTTTTTTTCAAAAACTCCCTTTTCTTAGGGGGCTTATTATCTAAAGGAGGGGACAACCTTCACACAAGCAGGAACACACAAGCTATGGACAGGACCAATTGGAGCTAATCAAAGGGGGGGAAGGCACTAGCATTAAAGCAGGGATTGGGACTTCTTGCAGGTGGGATTTTGAAGGAAGCGAGGAGGTTAGAGGGGAGAACATTAGAGGAATAGGCAGTGAAAAGAGGGTTGGGAGAACAGTAGCAGGGAACCAGGTTAGGGAAGGCTTTAAAAGCCAATCAGGAATTTAGATTTGATCCTGGAGATAACAAGAAGGCCCTGGAGATGATTGAATAAAGGGATTTCATGGTCCCACCTGTGCTTTAGGAAAATGGATTAGATGGCTGAATAGAGGATAGAATAGAATGGACAGAGGCTTGAGGCAGGGAGACAGACTCCAGGCTATTGCAGTAATCCAACTGATGGGGCAGCTGGGTGGCACAGTGGATAGGGAAGACTCATTTTCCTGGGTTCAAATCCAGCCTCAGACACTTAATAGCTGTGTGATCTTGGGCAAATCACTTCACTCTTTTTGCCTCAGTTTCCTCATTTGTTAAGTGAGCTAGAGAAGGACATGACATACCACTCTAGCATCTCTGCCAAGAAAACCCCAAATGGGGTCACAAAGAGTGGGACATGATTGAAAAACAACAATAACAACGAGTGTGAGTAGAAGTTGCCCTAGGGTGGTGATAGTGTCAGAGGATGTTGGGAGAGGATGATGTAGATGGCTTTGGGTTAGGAGGAATGAGGGGATGAGGGTTCCCCATTTCTTCTGCCTCTGAGGATGACCACCATCCCCTCTTCGTTTTCCAGACACTACCCCAAGCAGTCATTCACGATGGTGGCCGACACCCCCGAGAACCTGCGTCTTAAGCAGCAGAGTGAGCTCCAGAGCCAGGTAAGGAGGAGCCAGGGATGGGACCCTGGTGCTGGTTGGTGGTGTAACCTTGGCCTTTGGCAAGGGTTCCTTCCCCTTCCAGTTACACAACAGGCTTTGGGGCAGCTACCCTTTTGGTCCACCCCTCCCCCACTGTTGCCTTCCATCTACAAACTGGTACCATGCAGTGGGAGCTAAGGTGACCTTTGAGAACATGCCCTGCTCCTGAAACCCTCACAATGACTCATGTTTCTATAGGGCTCTTAAAAAAGATTCACAAGCATTTTCCTCAGAATACCTTGTAAGGGAGATTGGGCAAGTGTTCATCTCCATTTGACATATGAGGCAGTTGAGGATTTGAGCAGTTAAGATAGAGTAACTAATTGTCATCCCTATTATTTGCCCACATATGGTAAGTATTTTCATCCCTGTGTTTTAGATGAGGAAGCTGAGGCTCTGAGAGGTTGTGACTTGTCTGAAGTCACATAAATCTGAAATACCTCTGCTGTCTCTCCCCAACCCCCCCCTCCCCCAGTAGCCACTGACTCAGTTCCTTTTATTTCCTGGGAGTGGTCAGAGGGCTTGGTTATAAGGAACTAGGTCTGGACAGGGTCAGGCCTAAGGCCCCCATTAGGTGTTTGTGGTTTTAGGCTAACATTTATATAGCACTTTCCATCTGTCACCTCATCTGGTAACTTGTTTGAGCCTTTGTGTTAGTATGAAGGTCTGCGTCTTAAATCTCACTTCTGATTCTCACTAGCTACAACGTGATTCTGTCTAAGTCATTTAGCTTTTCTGAACCTCAGTTTCATCATCTGTAAAATGGGTTTAATAAAAGTCAAACCCTACTAACTAGGGGTGTCTTGAGGAAAGTGCTCTCTAAACCTTAACAAGCTATAGAAATGTGATTTGTTGTTAATAGAATAATAACTACAGTAAGACACGAATGGGGGAAAAGCATTTAATTAATTACTTACTACATGCCAAGCATGATGCTAAGCACTAGGGATAAAAATGAAAAGTAAGAAAGCTTCTTGCTTTCAAGCAGGCTCAACTAGGGTAGGATGGGGCGAAGCAACCTGCATGAAAGGTTCCAGCTGCAAGTAAATTGGAAAAGCCCAGTGACTCTTACGGAGCAGCAAGCAGTAACACAGATAGAACTGAATCTTTTTCATTGTGCCATTTTCTTGAATAAAAGTCTATATGTTGCTGGTGCTAAGGACTTTGGTGGTGAGGACTCTTTTTTGGTTCTTCCGTTGCTGTGGCTGCTGAGGAGGTGGAGGTGGGGGTGGGGAGGGAAGCACAGCGTTTGCAGAGGAAGTAGTCAGGTTCCATCCTTGCAAAGACTGCTCCTCTGGAGGTTGGCTGCAGGAGATTGGGGGGAGGAAGATGGTGCAACTGTTCCTGGGGCTCTTGGACCTATGCTTCCTGGAGGTGGCAGCCGTGTTGGTGGCATCTGGGAGTGGAAGGCCCCCTTCTCCCCAGGGCGTGTTCCCCCCTGGTGGTGGCTGTAGGGCTTTCAGTAATAATATAGCCTCTCATAACTACTCCGTGAGGTGGGTAGGAAAAGTATTATCATTGTGCCCACTTTGTAGGGATAATACCACCCCTGTGATGATAAGAAAACTAATTGCCTCTGTTGAGATGCCAACAGGAGTCTGACCTCTTAATTAGTTCTTCAGCCAGGACATGAGAGATGGGACTATGAAGTGAGGACAGTGGTTTTAATTTAAACCAACACCCCTACACTCATTCAGCTAAATGAGTGTCATGACATTAGGAGGCCATTGGGTTCTTTCAGCCGTGCTGTTGGTACAAGAGACAGCCAGGTGGGGCAATGGATATAGAGGGCCAGAGTCAGAAAGACCTGAGTTCAATGCAGATTCAGACACTTTGGTAACTGTGTGATCCTAGACACTTAACCTTTGTCTCAGTCTCAATTTCTTTAGTTGTAAGATGGAGACAATCGCATATATTGTGAGGCTCAAATGAGACAATATTTGTAAAGTGTTTAGCACTTAGTAGGTACTTAATAAATACTTATTTCCTTCTTCCCTACTTTCCTTCTTTCCTTCTCTTCCTTCTTTTCCTTCTTCCTTTCCTTCCTTCTTTCCTCTCTCCTTCCCTTCCTCCCTCCCTCCCTTTCTTCCTTCCTTCCTTCCTCCCTTCCTCCCTTCCTCCCTTCCTCCCTTTCCCTCCCTCCTTCCCTCCTTCCTTTCTCCCTTCCTTCCTTTCTTCCTCTCTCCCTCCCTTTCTCCCTTCCTTCCTTCCTCCCTTCCTTTCCTCCTTCCTTCCTTTCTCCCTTCCTTCCCTCCTTCCTTTCTTTCTTCCTCCCTTCCTTTCTTCCTTCCTTCCTTCCTTCCTCCCTTCCTTCCTTTCTCCCTTTCTCCCTTCCTTCCTTCCTTCCTTTCTTCCTCTCTTCCTTCCTCCTTTCCTCCCGTTCTCCCTTCCTCCCATTGGGAGTTTTGTTCTTCAGAGTGAGTTTTCAACCACCCAACCAGCACTCATTCTGTTCCATTCACCCAGTTCTCCAGGAGCCACAGCTGCTCCTTCCCCTTGAATCATTCACTTCAGGGCTGTGTTGGTTTCGGGTCAGGGGAAGAGGCCTGTACTGAACATTTCAGGAAGCTGGCATAGGTGGTGGTCAGTAGCTAGCCATTGCACAGACTGAGGGCAGGAAGAGGAAAAAGCCAGACATAATTTGGATAAAGCCAGGCATATCTCATGCTTTCTCTACAGAGAGAGTCAGGCCTGGAGGCCATAAAATGTTAGAGCTGGAAAGGACATCAGGTCCACTAGTTCATCCCCCTCATTTCTTTTTTATTTTGGAGGAAACTGAGACCCAGGAAAAGACCTTAGCAATTTATCCCATGGCACACATCAAGTTAGTGAAGGAGCAGCATCTCGGTCCAGAGTGTCCTGTCTCTAATTTCATTACTCTTTTGTATCAGAGATGACTCCTTCATTCTTAGTTTCTAGCCAGGGAGAAGTCTGATAGATTTCCTGGGAAGCTGCCTCCTCCAGGGAGCCTTCTTAGCCCTTGGGAGGCAACCCCCACATTCCCTGTCTCCATCCACAGAACATGGCCAAGAAGAGGAAGGGAGACTTATAACTAGCTGATCATTTGTGAGTTGATCTTGGGCTACCTTCAGTTACCTCTAGGCTATTTGCATCAGTGAATGAATGGGGTGAAAGCAATGCCAAACAATGAACGTTAGTAATAAAAAAAAATAATACATCTGACTTTAGAATGTGTGACTTGGGTTCGCCCCCTCCAGAAAAATGTTCCTTCCTCATTCTGTTTGGCCCAATCTGATAATAAAACAAATTTACTTTTACCAAGCACACAGGTGAGGAAAGCAAGGGGGTCAAAGGTCCAACCCTAGAAGAGACCCTAGAGGTGACGTAGTCCAACACCCCCACCTCATTTTACAGAGGCAACCCAGGGACATTCTGAGTAATGGGCTTTTTTTTTTTTTTTGCTTTTTAATGAGGCAATTGGGGTTAAGTGACTTGCCCAGGGTCACACAGTAAGTGTTGAGTGTATGAGGCTGGATTTGAACTCAGGTCCTCCTGACTCCAAGGCCAGAGTTCTATTGAGTAATGGGCTTTTAAAAATGTTCTGTAGTGCAGAGAGCTCTCCCACAGGAAGAACATCTGAAGAGCAAGGCTATATATCTTCTTGTTACCTGAGAAGCTTCTACTGGGTACTGGGACAGGGCTGTAAGAAGCTGGGAGATAATTACATTCAGTAAACATTTGTTAATTAACTTATTAATCTACTTCATGCAAGACACTGGGGTAGCAATAGGGAAACAGACCAAAAAACCAAAACATCTTTACTGACTTAAGATACCTGGGTTCAAGTTTTTGCCCTAGAATGACCTGAGAGAAGAAGCTTCTCTTTTTGGGCTTCAGTTTTTCTTTTCTTTTTTTAATACTGGCAGAATCTGTTTAGCACCTCTAGGGCTAAGTGAGAAGTCCCCTATAGAAGGATCTGGTTGTTTTTCTGCCTGGCAACGACCCTTTCCTTGCCTCCTCCCAAATTGGAACTCCCAGTGTGTTTCTAAACTCTGGAGGAGGGAAGAGGGGAAATTCATTTTTACACACAGCAGCAGTTCACATCTGTCTCTTCAGGGACCCCCGCCTCCGCTGCAGGGGAGAAGCTGCAATTACTCGGTAGTGGGTGAGCGTGCCAGGCACGTTGGCATAGGAGGAGTGGCGCCAGGCTGCTGCTGGGTGGCATATCAGTAGGGAGGGTCAGGCAAAACAAGGAGTCTTTGGCAGGCTTCTTGGGGTAAGGGTGGGAGCCCAGAAGTGCCCGTTTTGGTAAAGATTCCTTCCATTCCCCCCAGTTTGGGGTAAAATCGGGAGGCCAGCTGGCCTCTGTGACAGGGATAAGATTTCACCAAATGTCAGCTTGGAGAGGCAGGAAGACTGGGTCTTCCCAGAGCTGCCCTGAGACATCTGCCCTCCCCACCTAAATCCCCCAAACAGCTGAGGGGGATATGTGAGTTTTGGCCAAAGTTCCAGCATTAGTGCCCCCTTCCCCCCACCCCTAATACACATTCCCACCCTCTAGACAAATAGGAAACTTTTATGGGGCTGATTTATAACCATAGATTCTCTTGTCGGTGTCAGGGTCTTAGACTGGGGAGATGGGCACTCTGGGAAAGGCCTCTAGACTGTGATATGGACAGAGACCCTCTCAGAAAGACTCAGTCAGAAATACAGTGAAAATACACACCACACACACACACACACACATGCATACATACATACATGATACACACACATTTATACACACCCTTCCAAGGGGAGAGAAATTCTAAACCTCCTCATGATAGAGATCTTAATTCCCTTTTCTTTTGTCTGACTCACAAAGGAGGCAGCTGTAGCTCTTTTCTCCCCCCAGCATCAAATACCTGAGAGAGGAGTGAGTGAATGAGTGAGTGAGAGAGAGAGAGAGAGAGAGAGAGAGAGAGAGAGAGAGAGAGAGTGTGTGTGTGTGTGTGTGTGTG